AACCGCAGCTGTCAATAATTATCTAACCTTGTATTATTGAATCATGCTCACAACCNCAAAAAACAAATACGGCCACCTTTGGCACGCACAGCTGTCATCGCCCAGCAGGGCGATAGAAATAAATCTATCGCCATGAAACGCCGCCATGCGAACTTCGCATTTCGCTTTGGCTGTGTTCAATTTCATATGCTTGCGGGTGTTCTAATTTTGACAGCGCGAATTTCGCTGTGGTGAGTTCGCCGTTCGCCGGCATTGTATTTCAGCTATAACAGCTGTTTCGTAAATAAAATAAATGNACTGTCTAACAGCTGTTTCGTAAATAAAATAAATACAAAAGATGGATGCTGAACAACAGGAAAAGTAAATATTTTTGCAATTTGTTTATTTTTTTGATAATTACCGATTTTATTTATTTTCTAGGCGAATTCAAAAAGAAATAACAAAGCAGGAGTTGCTCCAGTACTTCACACAGTTTGCAATCCACAACTTGGTGCAAAAGTTTGTATGGAAATGAAATAGTATGCCTCTTCCGAAACTGCCGCAAAAACGAGCAATAACTCCAGTCATTACTGAATATACTTTTAGTTAAAAAAAAATTAACGTAACAAATCCCCCCTAAACGAAAGAGGATTGACGCCGCTTTATGAAAAGTCACCCCTCCCACAGACCTCTGGGGAGCTGTTTGAAAATAGGGGAATTTTAGCGTTTTTGCAAGGAAAAAACAAAGTTAAACTTGCGTCCGAAGAAGGGGGGCTGAACACCTTCTGCGTAGGCGGCCTTCGGCCGCGCTACCGCCCCAGTGATGTAACCTTGGGAAAGGATGAGGTAACTAGAATTCCCTTTCTGTGTGGTAAACCTGGGGCTGCCGCCCCAGTGATGTCTATTTTGGTGTTTTACAACCAATATATATATAAAAATGTATATACAAATTTGCAACAGATACCATAATTCCAACCGACATTATTGTTAAATTAGTGCACAGATTTAGTAAATTAAATTTTTGTAATAAAGCGTGAACTGTGGTCTACAAGTGTGTGTACAAGTTTTTAGATTCGATTCACGCGTTTGGGCACAGCAACCCAAAATCGTTGTACAAATTCATAAACAGTACCCATCATGTGTTTTATTTACGCCCAAACGGATCAGACCACACTTTCATGTTGCCGGGCTGAATGTCTTCTTGTTTAATTCCTCTGCGGGTACGTTTTTGCAGATCCTTATACCTTTCCACATTCATCATTGGCTCAACGACGATCGGGTAAAGTGCTATACCAATTCCGCCGATAATACAAGAAATAAAAGCTGCATATCTCCATCCACGCAGGAACACCATGTTGCTAAATCTCTATTAGGGAATTCGGAAAAATATCGACGCATCGAAAATATTGATGTTTGGCATCGATGCATCGAATTTTCCAATCGATCTCAGTGTTGCCCCCCTCACACTTTTTCCACTACCAAAAAACGTGCCAAAAGGGTTTTGGAAGCACCGCGCGATTTTTTATTAAAAATTTTCGCCTGCGGCGCTTTTCCCATAAAAATCAATACTTCGATAAATAATGAAAATTTTTGATGCTTACTTTTAATTACAGCTAAAATAACTGTAAACCATAAAAGTAGCGCTGCCATGGTATAAAGAAATTTGCTATTATATTTTGGTTATGCAGCGTTTTTGCTGCATTAAAAATGCAGCATTTAGCACTTTCGAACATATGTTTTCGAAGAGCGTTCATGCTATAGCATTTAGCAAATGTACATTTACGCGAGTTCGAAATCGTATGCTTTTGACAAACAGCCGTGTTCCAGTCTCTTATTTAGATGCGTATATATTACGATCAATTCTCACGCAGGAGATAATGTGCAAAAACCCTACTGAAAAGGAAAAAATAAATTTTAAACCAAAAATTCAATACAAAAACTTGTATTGTTTTAACCATAACCGAAAATTTGTTTGTGTATATATTCATTTGTCGGTGCTGTCAATTAAAATTTTCTCACTTAATTAGGAAACAAAACGAACCGAGTTGATCACAAATTGATCCAGATTTCTATCAGCATCAAATCGATGTTGAATTTGCTTAACTTTTCTTTATCCAAATATGTAAAGCGAAGCGCACATTAGCGCGATTCCATCGTTGCGAATACGTTGCGAATTCGGCTGTTAACTTCGAATCCGCAAACGTGCGCACACTTGAGCGATTTTTTCGCGTCGATTTCCGATGTACAATTCACTCAATTTTCCCTTTATTTCGTGTATTTTCGCACTCGGCGTGCCCAAATCGTACAAAATACTATTATTACGAACGTTTTTATTAGTTTTTGTACATTACACGTTTTTTTTCTTTGCCTTTATTGCTGTGACACCTTTCTTCTTCTTCTTTGACGCCTTCAAAACGCTGCAAGCCGCGTTTCGAACGCGTCAATAGAGAGGAACATTGAATGTTCGAAAAATTCGCAGCGACGGAATCGTGCAAGTGTGCGCTAGCGCATTAAAATGTATGGGTAGCATTGTTGTAATTTTTGGGCTTGCGGATTCGCAACGACAGAATCGCGCCTATGTGCGCTTCGCTTTATGCTTGAAATACAATACCGGCGAACGGCAAACTTCGCCGAATTGGGCGATGCTGTCGTTCACCGTTCGCACGGCTATTTCGCCTACTTAAACAGAATTAGAGCGGTAGCGAAAACAGCTGATATAAAAGAAAATCGTCGAACATACTTTTGTATGGAAAGAACGTGAAACACCTTCAACCAAAAAAAATCATTTTTGTTAATTAAATCCTAAAATAGGGCGTTCTTCAATCAAATTCTGAAGTAGGGCGTTTTTGAAGTTTTCTGAAAAAGGCGATTTCGAACTGGCTGCAGGTCACTCCATGATAAAAATATACAGGGCTATCACGGAATCCATCGTAGAAAATCTACGAATTCAAATG